GTTGGAGCCTCTTTGGGGATTTTTATTTAACTCTTTAGCTCTGCGCATTATGCTCCTTTCGCAGCAACTAGCTCTGCTCAACCCCTTCATCCCCCTCCTCCAGCAGCCCTCAGCCCCTGTCCTGCACTTCAAATACCTCCAATGACTATGCAGCTGAGGAAATTTCCCTTTTTTATTGGCTCACTGAGCCCACTACAGAGGGTCAGGACCTGCAGAGAAGAATTCCCCCCTCCTCCCTTTTGAATCGAGGCCTTCACAATCTCAACACAGGCTTAATGGGGGACCCAAGCCGGGGACTGATTTTTTTAAGAGGGCTTAGATGGGCTTTTTCAACAGAGTACAAATCACTAGTAAACAGCTCCCTGTAGCTCCAGCGCTGACCTTCCAGATAAATTCCAACTAATATAATCATAGTCAATTTCTAAACACTCAGGAACGCACAGGGGGGAAGGAAGTGGGGAACTCGATAAGTAAAGCAAACGGTGAAGACGTGGCTGGATTTTACATCTGTTTAAATGCCATTTCAAACCCTTGTCCAAATTATTGTATAGTTAGAGTGGAACAAAAAAGGGAGGCAGCATCCTCCAAGTGGGGTTAAAGGAAGTTCAGGGATTCTAAAAGATGTCTATGTCTGCATGGAAATAAACGAGACCTGCTAAACTGTTTTATGTCCAGGAAAGTCAGGTCTAGGAATAAGACAAGCGGAGTGTGTAGAGCTGTAGCCACGGCAGTTGGCCTCTGAGAAAATGTTATTCCCTTAATGGACCGATAAGATTTGGATAAAGTACACAGTCCTTGTGAGATGACTTGCTTTCCCTCTGAATTCAGTGGTGCAAGTCTCTGTCTGTGAAGGGAACATGTAGGAAAAGTCTCTTGTTCATTGTCCACGCAGTGTAGAGAGTGAACACATGTCTTTATGTTTTGTGGTTTCAGCAGGGCATTTTGGAAGCCATAGTCTCAGACACAAACACACTTTACCTAACGCCCAAATACTCCCTGCCCTAACAGGGAGCAAAGTTTCCTTTCCTGCTCCTCTGTTCTCACTGCAAACAGATTGGTAGCAAACGGAAACACACACTGGCAAAATGAAGTTCCATGACGTTTAGAAGTAAAAAGGCCCCAGAACACCGACCAGATTTTCACCAAATGCCACATTCCGTGTTATTTAACAAGACACACTACAGTAAAACACATAAGTAGACAAACCGAGAGAATCCATTTGGAACAGTTAACACAGCCTGACTTGCTCACAAGCACACAGTAGGGGAAGACAATTTAATTTCACTCAAACCCATCAGGAGGATCTAATGTTCAGACTATTGCTTAGCTGGCATTAAGGGTTGCTTTTAAAAAAAAATCTCAACAACCTTGAAGCCTCTGGCCATTGGTCTATGTCTTCATAATTATTTAATTTTCCTATTCTGTACTGAATGGCTAGAACATATCATTTATATGTAGCGCTTGTCGATATGTAGTTTAGCACAACTGAAGGCTAACCTTCTGGAAAGGATAGGTGGAGAGATGCATAGGGCTTTTAAAGCCCTATAGCCTTTACTCGGGCAAAGCTCCCATTGACTTCAATAGAAAATTAATACAAAACCAGGGCTTCAGGGCTTCTTAATCTTCTCTATCGTAGTATATCATCCCATAGTATAATGTTTAGAGAGGATGAGAACAAGGTATCCCAGGTGTCTGATTTTCTCATGATCAACGAAAACATATGGCAGGCGTAGATCTGAAAGTGACAGTGCGATCATAACCCAAAATGACAGCGGGAATGGAGGCTGGGAGGGGGGAATTGGCAGGAAAATTCCCATTGTCAATACAACTAAATATGCATCCAGGGGGCCCGTTTTATGGGTATGTAACTGCGTTTCCCTTTACAAAAGCTGTGTTCACTCTTCCCCTACACATTGTGTTAATCTATGGGCCTGCTAATTTTGTTCCCGCCTCGTTGGGAAGACAGGATGCGGGGCTAGACGGATCATCGGTCTGACCCAGAAGCCCATTCTAATGTTCTTATGCCCATGGCTATTGCATTTCAACATAAACGTTCAGTGCAAATGAGTGCCAACTGTGCATGTGCTCAAAGACCCAGCAGACAAAGATAGCAAAGACGGGGTAGGCTGCTAGACCCTTAGACTCGTGAGGTTGCAACTAACTCCACACTAAGTAACTCCTTAGTTCTTACGCCAATGAGAAGGACAGAGGCTGGCTTGGTTCCTTGCTTTAAACGAGACTGCGTTGCAGAGACTATCTGCATATTCTTCTCCCACACACCCACCCATTTTAAAGTTGTTAGGATCCACTTCCGTTGGCTGTGCCTGAGAATAGCTATTTATCCGGAATGACATGTACGCGGAGCTAATTCATACAGCGTGGGAAATTAAATTGGTATATTTCAGGACCAAAACATTACGCTCGTGGTCGTTTTGCCTTTTTTGGTGGCAGGGAAGTATAAATGGCACATAGGTCTTATATACGGGCTGCTCTCCTGTCTGTAGAGTATGCTGGTCCCACTCCTTTGCTTTCTGCGGTTTTGTATACACCTGGGCTACGTCTAATATGCATCCCTTTTACGAAAAAGGGATGCAGTCTAGACGTAGCCACGCAGTGTTCAGGTTCAGTTTGCCTGCTACTCATTGTGGCAGGGAAACTAACAGCACTAACCTGAGAACAATGGTGTACTCTGAGAAGCAACCATAAATTGTTCAGCTTCCTGAGTGGATGTGGACAGATATCACAGCACTGCTAGTGTAGTGCTGTAACAGGTCAAGAGCATAGTAGAAACAGCAAATCCCATTCAGTATTTCATTTATTTCCAGTTGTGGAGAATCTGGTAAACAAAATGTTCATGTTATCTAAATGCACAGATAAGGCAGAAATGGCTTTCTTTAATAGTATGATTGAAATGTGAGGGGTCTGATGTCTCCTCGTTAGTAATATTGGCTTTGCATGCAAAGCACAATCCCATCCCTCTAGACTGCTTAGCCAAAACAGAGCGTAAACTCTGTAATTAGTAACGTGTTCCATCATTAAAGAGCCCTGCTGAGAATTTCTATTTAATAATGGTCTTAAATTAGTTATGATGGTAAATACTCATCTGAAAATTCAACATCTAAAACCATCTACAATCTGGAAGTGCTCCAGTATTGCTGTAATCTCCTGTAACACAGAAATGACTATCACATGCAACCATCACATTAGAAATTATCCGTACTCTTTGGTTCAGGAATATACAGTATGGATGTGTTAATTAGGTTAACTCATAAATTGTCTGCTTTACAAATATTTAGTACTAAACAAGAAGGGGGTTTTAAATAGGATACCACCAAGAGGGCGAGAAAACCAGCTAGTGAGATTTCATTCTTGCAACTGGAAAACCTTTTGTTTTCAGATAAGGTGGCACGACACTATCTTGAGGCCTAACAGTTCCCCAACACAATACATACACCCACAACGCACATGCACACTGCACCAGCTACTCCCAGTGTACCTGTACAGAATAAAGGCAATGGGGATTTTACGTAGCAACACGCTTGATTTTTAAGCATTTTGTATTTATTTTTACGTTCGGAGTCAGAGAGAACTAGTTTTAACACTGTTTAAAAAAAACCAACAACAACAAAATGCATTCCTTTTTTGTAACGTCCAGAAGCATTCTGCAGGCTTTGGCTCAGGAGATCTTCGAAGACGACAATTATATGTAATAAGTAGAGAAAGAAGACGTGTGTGGAAAATAGCTCAGGAAAGTACTGCTGTTTCCTCATGTGAAAGTTATTCCTTCCATCCTCTTGAAAAAAAAGAAGCAAACAGATATTTCAAGCCATTCGTACACAATGTGAAATGAAAGTTTCAAATATTAAATGTGATTCCAGGTATACATAAATAATTCAGGTATAGTTCATTCCCATTGGGGATATAATCAAAAGCTATTTGAAATAACAATAGAAAATCAGTAACTGAGATAGTTGAGGAGGTCAAAGAAACGGGAAGAGGGAGACAGGATATTTCATTTTTTACCTAAACGTCTAAACGTGTATCCTCCCTTGCACTAACCTTTCATGTTTAATGAATGAATCTGCATTGCAGGGTTTTTTCCCCCTCCCTGTGCCGGCTAGTTTTAAATCTGCAAGCATCACAAAGAGGCCGTGATCCCATCTGCCTATGATTCCAAATTAAAGTTCAAACGGACGGCTTACACACTGCTGATCCTGTATCATAGCCTCTCGCGACCCTTCAATTACTATTTAATAGAATTACAGTTTTAAATCCCAATAGTCTTAAAGAATGTTTTATCAGTGACTGAAGAGAGAATATACAGACACCTTCAATGTTATTGAAAAATATTGCTGACCTATTTAGATATTAAAGGGACTGTTTAGTGTTCTACAAGTTATTACAAGAACTACTTTAATCTTCAGACGAGAACGAATATATATATAGATATATATATTCATTTAATAAGGACCATTAGATTCACACACACACAAGTATGTATTATACTGCCCACAAGGACCCACGTGTATACACATACACACACTGCGTGAGGTCAGAAATCAAACACATCCACAAAACTATTAAACTACTGTATCGTTGACAAATATTGCTAGATAGGTTATTCCAAGAGGAAACCAAATGTTCCTCCACTCTTTGAAAGACACGCTATAATGGTCCTTATTAAATGAACTTCTTCTCATCATGTTTCCTCGCCGGGATAAGGCAAATACTTGCAGTAGAGCTGAGCCTACCTCTAGCAGCGATCTCTGAAATTCAAGTCAATCGAAATCGGGATATGGTTATAGTAAATCTTGACTTCCAGTGTAGTTTCCTCCATTCTTCAGAACTGCTCAGCAAAAGACCTGCAATCCAGACTACTGCTGCCACTTCATCTCCATTACAGTAAAGCGATTCTAACCACATACTTCCAGATATTTACCCCTAACCTTTACTTGTTAGTTCATATTTCGCATTCTTCTTCTCCTGCCCAGCCCACGATGCTGGACTGTTTGAAGCCTCTTCTCTCAAAAACGTCTTAAAATAAAGCTAAACAAACACCCACGCACACACACACACTCCTATGGCTTCAAAATGCACCTTATTTAATCCCCAGTATGAGCCCATCGCCCTACCTCTATGTGTGTGTGTTTAACCTTTCCCGAATGTCATATTTATCCGTATCACTGATAATGTTCCTAATGCCTTCCCACCACCACTACCACCACCTTCTCCCCTCCCCTCCCCCCGCCTATCTGCCCTAATTTTGCAACTGGGCATCGGGTTCATTCCCTTTTACCATTTGCAAACTTCTTTCTAATGGATCTTTCTAGGGGCCGAGGGGCTTCCCACTCCAGGCCGCGTGTCCTTTGACAAACAGGGCTCCGGAGCTGGGAAGCCCGGGTGTGTGTGCGCGCGCGCTCCCAGGCGCAGCGTTGGTCTGGCCTTTGCCTGCACTGCGCGTCCGGGCCAGTGCAATGCGGAGGGAGCTCAATGAGAGGCTGCATGAATACACACGAATAGAAAGTTGTGCTCAGCTAACCGGAGAAATCAGAGCAGTACCAGGGCACCAACGTTCACAATTCTTTTCACTTTGGGCCGGGGCTATAACCTCATCTGGGTATGCTAAAGATTAAGGGCAACGGGCAAGCAGATTCAGCTTCTTCTAAACGCCAGCTGTAACTGATCAGGGAGAGGGATCTATAGATTCTCAAAAACGTATGGTAGCCAGGAAAGGACCCCGGTCAACGGTGGGATCGCATGCACACAAAGGACACGGAGCAACGTTACAGGCCCCGGGCAGACATTAGGTAGCTAAAATACGGAGGGTTTCTAGGTGGCTTGATTGGCTTTTCAGACAAAGACGAGACAGACAGACAGACAGACACACACACACACACACAGACACACACACACACATTATAGTCGCGCACCAGTGAATTTGCACACTTTATTTCATGGTACTATAGGAAAGGTGGCGCTCACATCGAGGTCTCTATGTGAGTGGACACAGACGCACACAAATAACGCGTGAATGTGACTGTCACAACATCTAAAATTGGTGTCACAACTAATCGGCAACATTGTGTCTACTTTAATGCTTTTAAAAAGATTGTGCACTGCAAGAGAGCCCGTGTGTATAATCTTTGCAAGCCGTGAGACAGAGGATTTCAATCTATGAATATATATTTACAAAGCTCACTTCCCTTCCCCTTTTGACTCATCAAAATCACAAGTGCTGGATAGCAGGAGCTCCGCGTGTCTCTCCTGGGGAAGAAACTGTCCCCCCTGTGCCACGAATTTAAAGTTTCTATAGCACCGGCGGGTTCTGGACCGGTGAGTTCTGTGCCATCTGTCTTCTATCCTATGGCTTTCGCTTAAATATTAATCAAATGCACTTCAGCTTCCGAGTAATTCCGTCTTAATCAGCAACGAAGCTTGTCATGGATAATAAACTAATACTGGAGAGGGCTTGTCGATAATGATCGGCCAGAGGAAGTGAAGAGGTAAGTCCTCCCCCAACCCCCACCTCCAGTTTGGAGTTTCCGATAGGGCCTATCTTACCAAGGCAGATGGATTTAGTGGGCGAGAAGGCTTAAATACAGATTGTCATAGATTTACACCTCAATCAACCATTCAGGTTTTTAATGCAAATCCTAAAACAACATCGTTTATCTTTTATGGGGCCAGGTTTAAAACGGAATATCATTAGCTGTCGCATTTTCATAATATAATACAAATAAACACAAATACATTGCATACTTCCTCACACACACATACACCCTGCCTGAGAGAAATACTGGGGACAACAAATGCTTTACAAATCTGTGTATTTGGGCCTGCAGCCCTATTATGCAAACTAGCTGGGTTTCGTGGATTCATTCCAAACTACCACGCAGCACCGTTTCTGACATTAAAAGATGGACATTAACTTTCTGGAATTAAAAAAGGAATAAAAAAGGAAATAAATTGAAAATCACGCCCAGACGTTTTAGGGGGAAGGCTGGTGGATCAGGGAAGAAAAGATAGAGAATAGACGTTATGTCTGTTTTATAAACGGCCATGAAAATACACAAGGTAAAAAAGTCTCAGGTGGTATGCCAGGAAAACAAATGACAGAATAGACTGTTATTATGTTGAGCATGAAAATAAAGATTAAGACCCAGAGAAATTTGCCAAATTCAGGTACAATGTTACTGGGAGCTGATGCCTAAAAATGCAGTTCCTGGATTCTAAAGTGAAGAAACTTTCACATCGCTGTATCTTTCCAGGTATTTAATTCTGCTACAAATAGCAGAGTCACAGCGAGGCTCGTTAAAAATAAATACAAATAATGTACTTTTTAAAATTAATAAATAATGCCGTCAACTGCCCTTGCAATGATCTCAAGTAACACCTTGGTCCTGTGATTTTCTCTGCAAGGGCATCTGATCCTTGCTAATACATTGGAGTTGTCGAAGAAAACAGTTACATAAAAGACTCAATTCAAAAGCAGATGCATGAGAAGATACAAATAACTTTGGAGTATGTTGTCCCATATTAGTATTGTACCTGCTCTTTGAAACTGCAAGGGAAAGACGAAAGGCTAGTAATATATTTGATTTCCCCCGTGAAATATAATACGATTCTCTTTTTCACTTCTCTTCAAATCAGAGCTAGCTTTTGTCACGTTGTATTTTTAAATCTATGTTTCTAAATATTCAATCGACTTAGCTAAACTAATTTGTAGCATATTAGATTCACGTTATATGTCACATTATCAGAACACTATTATTGTCTGGTGTATGCATAATATTAAAGTGTATCTATATAATTATGCACATTTCAAATTATGCAAAGATTTAAATGCACTTTTTATTTTAATAAAAACTGAATGCACGTGTTAGTGTATATACTGAACCCACTTGAAAATTATATATATTATGTTTCTCTAGCTGGGGACTGTTCTTTCAGGGATTTGGATAGAGAGAGGGGACAGGTGGGTATTAAATATAGGTGCGTACATTCATTTTTTAATTTTTATTTATTTATTTATTTTTACTATTTGGGGGCAATTCCTAAACGCATCTAAACAGATTCTAGCGCACTTTACTCTGTGAAAGAGCAGCAAAGTAAGCGCGTCATGATTGGAAGCCTTCCAGGTAACAAGACAGAAGAAAAGGACAGCTTAATAACTATGAGCATAAACGGTAATGAAAAATATTCTACGCACTCTTTTTGTTTTCTTTCACTGTAGCATTTCAAGTGATTATGCGGGTCTGTATCAGTTATTGTATCTTCCCTAACAACTGTTTGTGCTGAAAGGAAGCTGAGTAAATACACATAGGATTTCTGAGGACTATAAAAGATCTATAAATATATTTGCATTCAGCTTCTTTTCAAAATAATCAATCATTTTCTTGAGTTATATTAGGGTATGAGATTTTTTTCTCCCCGAAGTGGCTTCCATTTGGAAACGCTTATAGTTTCCCTAAAAATTCAGGAGCTTTCCATACAATTAGCCCTGACCTTCAAATGGTGGGGGAAAAATGCAGCCAACACAAAGTGAAATCGGAAGTCAAAATTAGTTCTGAAATGGTCAAGAAATTCCAGGCACGTTTCTCTCTAATCCTAATAAGTTTCGAAATTGTATTTTCAAGTAAAAACAAGTTTAGAATTCACCTCTTGTTAATTCACGGTTGAATAATCTGCCTAGGGCTAAGCAAAACTTTAATGCAAAAGGTGATGCTGGAATACTGTTAGTCATGCAAATAAAGGCTTCTTTCAGCACATTACAATATACTTAGGATTCAAGGGGAGGAGCTGTAACCTGATTAGGGAGAGTAGTTTATAGTTTTTGTTTTCATTTAAAGCTACAAACAAATACTAAAACATCTTAAACGCTCTCTGGAGAAATCTGTTAATCCCAATAGATGGGCAAAGTGATCATTTAGACTCAAGTTTTTTTAATGAAAAAAAATATGTTTGAGCCAGTGATGTGAAAGCAGGGTTGAAAGGACATCACTGTGTCTTGGAAACACATTCGGAGCAATGGTTATATCAACTCAAGGGGGCAAAGTCTGCCTATATAAAAGTGTTTTTCCCCCCTACCTTCTCCCTTCCAGACATTGTTCATTTCACTAGGGCAGACTTTTAATGCAGTTATGTTATACTACTTTGAAATTAGTTTTAAATGTGCGACATACACACCACTTCACCTCAAAACACAGAGAAATTAAAACCCAAACCAACCAAACAACCAAACAAAAAAGCAAACCAGCCTAGATGCTATATAAACACAAGTAAATTCCAGATTCCACCGGCGTGCATTGCTAACCAGCCTGCCCGCTTCAGTACATAAAAACTCGAATAATTCATAGTGGCTCGTCTAACCAAACAAAGATTAAAAATAATTTCTCAGTTAAGATGTGGGAGG